GAGTGCAACATTCAATAACACACAATTGAACATTTAGGGGAAGCGGTGGCCTGGTGGTATTACCACTAGACTATTAATCCAGAGACCCAGGTAATGTTCTGGGGACCTGGGTTTGAATCCTGCCATGGCAGATGGTGGAATTTGAATTCAATAATAATCTGGAATTAAAAGTCTAATGATGACTGTGAATCCATTGCTGATTGTCAGAGAAAAAACCCATCTGGTTTACTAGTCCTTTAGGGAAAGAAATCTGCCATCCTTACCTGGTCTGGCCGACAGACCCACAGCAATGTGGTTGACTCTTAACTGCTCTCTGGGCAATTAGGGATGGGCAATAAATGCTGGTCCAGCCAGCGATGCCCACATCCCATGAATGAGTAACAAAAAGACATACATTCCAGCTAGGGAGGGGAAAATACTCTAATGTTGAATCCTTTAGTTTCTGGTAGAGAGTATGATTTGTTACTTGGATGATCACTACAGGGACAGTTACTTTGTTAAAGCCTAGGGAATTCTACTAATTATTTCCTAGTTCACATTCTACTTGGTATACAATTCTTCCAGTTTCAAGAGAAAAGTGATGACAAAGTGCAGGCGAGTTCTATCATTATTGACCGTTCAGTCAATGAATAGTGAACTGTTCAGCTCAGTGATGGAGGACCTCTACAATTTAGGCCAAAAAACCAGGTTGAAAGGTTTGTGCCATCTTCAACTAGAAGCACTGATGGGATTAATCCATCTCATTTTCTTTTTAACAATCCCTCTTCAGTCTACAGTCATAAAATAATAATAAAAAAAACAGAAACCTCAGCAGGTCTGGCAGAATTGAATGGAGGGAGAAATGGAGTGAACATTTTGAGTCTGGACTGGTTCAGAAGATGAACCATATTGGATTTAAAATGTTAACTTGTTTCTCTCTCCCAGATGCTGCCAGATCTACTGAGTTTCTCCAGCATTCGGGTTTTATTTCAGATTTCCAGCATCTGCAATAATTTATTTTTATTTCACTCTTCAGTCAATTTGATTCACTCCATGTAATATCAAGAAATGTCAGAGACCACAGCAAGGGTTGTATCTCAGCTGTACTACTGAAGAATCAAGCTCCAGAACTAGCCATGGCTTGAACCAAGTGGCAACACTGGCATCTATCACAGAACTTCCCAGGCATATCCTGTACAAACTTTCGCAAACCCAGGCTGTCCAAAAGCACCTTCTAGACAATTAAGTACTTAGCGAAGTTTTACCACTTTTTGAAAATGATGGCAGTCAAGTTTCTGTGGCAAACTCCACAGACAGCAATGTGCTACTGATCAGATCTGTTTTTGTGAGAGTGATTGTAGGGATCCACACTGGCCAGGACATCAGGGATAACATCCTGGCTCTTCTACAACATAGTGGCAAGGGATGTTATGCTTTCACCTGGGATGCCTTAGATTAACACAATGGAATGACTGTTTCTTTAACAATGCAACATTCCCTCAGTACTGAACCGGAGTGTCAGGCAAAATACTCTGGGGTGACATCTGAACTTGTAACATCTGACTCAGAGATTAGAGAATGTAGCTGACAATAATATAACATTTCGTTTCTATTAACTTCAGTTTCTAAGAGTTTAAGTCCCAAGGCTGTATATAGATTGCTCTCCTCCCTGTAAACAGGCAGCCTGAAAGTTTGATTTAGTTTAAAGTAGTGACTAGTTAGAACTGCAGGTGTCAGTATTGGTTTTGTATCTGGGTCCTGAAGCTGTGAAAGGTGTTCAAATCCCTTGGATCAGCTGGAATGGACATCTTAAGGGATTTTCTTCAGTCAGTGATGCTGATGGACCATTCTGCTTTCATTCACTCAGGAGGTTTCTATTGTTTAGACACAGTTCTACCAGTGTGTCAGGAATAAAACCTGAGGAATAACCCACTCTCTTCCCGCAAACTGGAAATTCTGAAACTAATATAAAGCATCAGAAAAATCGCAGATGTACATGGGAAGGGATTGGACAAGGGGAGAAAATCTAGTTAAGGTAAGAAGAGATGAGTTCTGTGGGGCAGAAGCAGGCAGAAACAAAGGCAAAAACTGCACAGACAGTTTGTGAATTTTGGAAAGGAGGTAGAAACGAGCTGTGAGAGATTGGGGCACTGTGTGCTTGGAGGCAGTGTGGGGGAGATCACCAGATGAAATGAGGTTAGAGACCTCTGTGAATGCAATAGCTGGCACTCAGCCTCCACAATGTAGAGGTCAGTATATCAGACAACAACAGCACTACCCCTTGTCAGCAGGCTCGATTACAAAGTCAGGGGTTGGATCTGAGAGCATAGACTGCAGTAAGTTCAGAGGGAGATTGGTCCAATGGGTGAGGGAGGCAGAGAAGTTAAGGCAACTGATGTCATATTGATAGTTATCGCTGATCAGATCAAGTGCAGGTAAAAGGTCAGAAGGAGGGTCCAGGTGGAGGGCACAGTTTGAGGCAATTGAAGGGGTCTGTGACTTGGAGAGGAGAGTCCAATCCAAACAAATGGACATGGATGCAAAGGCGACAGAAAAAGAGTTCAACATCATGTTGTGCCCAAAATTCACTGAGGTCGGGTTAAAAACTGAAACCTTTGCTGGGTACAGAACTTTCAGTATCGGAGAGTGGAAGGTCAGAAGGGATACTTGTCAAGATGTGGGGTAATATGCAGAGGGGATGAAGTCAGAGGGAAGGGGAGAGGAAGAAGTTTCCAGAGGGATGTATTTCTGTTGCATCTGCATTCCTTAACGCCTGAAAGGAAACAAAAAAAGTTCCTTGCTAGCACATCAAATGAGCAGAGGATGAAGTGGAATTGAAGGCAGGGCAGTTCTGAGTCAGTGTAAGGTGGTGCTGAGGGAGAGAATGAGCTTAGAGTGATGCATGCACATGGCAAGGATCTCAGAATGTGGCACAAGGAGTTATCAGGGACACATATCTCATGGAGATACCTGTATCCTGGGTGGATTCAAAACACAAAGGATGGAATTTCAGTTGAAATCCATCTAGCGTGAGTCTGAACCGGAAAGTGATGTTGCTGTGGAAGCAAGTTTAGGCAAATGCCTTGTCAAACACCAGGTGCAATGATGAATGAAGGTGAATAAGAAAAAAAGACTGTGTTCCCAAGCCAACGTCTCTGTCTTAGGCTTGCAGCAGTGCTCATCTCATTTTCCACTTGGGGACCCTGTAACCTTCAGGACTCCATATCAACTACAGAAATTTTAGGGCCTGAGCATTTTCTTCCATGTCCTTACCCCAACGCCCACACATGAAGCCTGATCATGACATGGGCTATCAGTACAACCCATGCTTAGCTACTAATGGTCTCCATTAGCAGCTATTAATACTCCATGGGTGACCTTTACCCATTCCTTTATCTGTCCATTTGCTGTTCTTTCTCTCATTGGGCTCCATCTCCACCTATTGTTTACACCTCCCTTCCCCCACCCCATCTTTTACATAGAAACCAAGCTTTTCCCAGTTACAATCAGTTCTGAAGAAGGGTTACTGGACCCAAATGTTAATGCTGATTTTTCACCACATATGCTGCCAAAGCTACTGAATTTTTCCAGCATTTCTGTTTTTGTTTCTGATTTCCAGCATCCACATGTCTTTCATGGGATTAGCAGATGCTGAAGAGGGAGGGAATCAGGAGGAAGGACAAAGGAGAGGGGAGGCTCTGGGACTGACTGTAGCTGCAGCCATGCTCAGATTAACCCAGTGATGCTGAGTAGTTTGGGGAATGATCCCTCACTCTGCTGCAGATCTCTCTGCTATCTGTTCAACCCTTGCCCAATGACACACCCTTTCCATGACATCTCGCGGAGACCCTCCCCTTCCACTTGACAAATGTCCCTCCTCACGATTTGGAAGTGACATTTCATTGAAGGACTTAGGTGATGAAAAGAGATGGGTCACTTATTTACATGGACTGAGGGGTCAAGGTTTGGTGTTTTGAGGAGACAAGTGAAAACTGAAGACTCAAAGGACGGAGGAACAACATCTGATAAAAAAGAAAACCGGGAATAATATTGACTAACGTTCATTCACTGGGTCATATACACTTTCAGATCAGGATCAAGATTCACCTGCCTCAGTCACTCAGATGCTCCCATATTACCAATCTCACTGTTATTGAAGGCTGCGTTTGTGAGCAACACCAGGGCAAATGGAGGAGCGTGGGAGAGGTCCTCCGGGAATATTACATCTACTGGTGAGATAACCCACTGCAGCTCAATGTCACTGAAGAACACCAGAGATTTTCAGATGACAGATGGTTGTTCTGGACTGATGCTGTACCTAGGTCAGTGAGGTTTAGGATCATTTGATTTTGCTCGCAATGGGGATTTTCTACCCGTACCTCATCTGTAGAAAGTTCCTCATTCCTGGAGTCTACTTTTTTCTCCATTAGTTTCCCTTCTCCTGACCCCAGGGGCTTCACCACCTTTCACAGCTTCAGAAATTCAGATACAAAAACAACACTGACACCTGCAGCTCTAACTCATTATCACTTCAATCTGTCAGGCTGCTAGTTTACAGGGAGAAACACTCTACACAGTCTTGGGACTGAATCATTTATAAAGTGAACCCAATACATGCAAATATTATCTCACGTCAGTCGTGTCTTGGTTCTTATTCTCATCCCTGACTCAGAAGGTTGTGGATTCAAATCTTATTCCAGAGACCTGAGCACTGAGGCTGACCCACTGCTATGAATGGGAGCATATGATTTATGAAATCAATTACTTACAACCCTTCACTTCATTGTCTATAAAGTGCTTTTTGATGCCCTGAGGTTGTGGAAGTTGATATATGAATGCAAGCCTCCCTTTTTTAGGGAGATGAATGCTTCCTGTGAACTGAATTATAAACTAATTGATAGAGTAATTATTCCAGCCACAGTGACATTGACCAATAGATTGTGTCGGAAGACTCTTACTGTAAGATCTTGAGTATTTCAGTGAAGAGCAACACACCATGCTGAGAAATTAGATTACTTGGCTTAAGCGAAACAGTGAATTTATTAAGAGTTCTAAATCTACACAGAGAATAATTAAACAAATAACAATACAATATTCTGCTTACATCAAAACGTGAATCAACCAAAATAACAAAGTATTTGAAAGTGACTCAAGTTCATGCACAAAACATGAATTTAGTTTTGAAATGATTTTAATTACACCATTATTACATCAAGGTATGATGGACTGAGGAAGCTCAGGTCTGTAGAGACTCACCCCAACTCCCTCCCCATACCCGGAATAGTAGACCTCCCAGACAGGAGAGTACAATCATTCCTCATGGTAACAGCTATCACCTGAAGAGGATCTGTCTATAATTCACATCACCAACTAAAGCAGGGTCATACGCACATCTGAGAGCTGGCTCACGTTACAAACACAGGGGCCACACCATTAAAATCAGAGCCAGGCTGTTCAGAAGTATGTTTAAGAAGTGTCAGGAAGGAAGTGACCACTGAATGTATCTCACTCTCCAACCAGTACTGAACTCTGAATGCTGATGGAAGTGATGGGTAATCTGGGGAATTCATGGTATCACAGCTGGCTCAGCCATACAGAGGGACACACAGAAGACTGGAAGGGCAATCATGATAGGAGACTTGATATTGACAACAAATGTTTCTGTGCCAAGGGGCGAGAGGGTGGAGGCATCCAGGATGGCATGTTACCCTGCTAATGCCAGGATCACTGTGATCACTGTATCAGAAGGTTTAGGCGTGATAATAGAGAAAGACGAGGAAGAATTCAGAATAAGAATAACTAACTGAAAGAAAACCAACTGTAATGACGTAAGAATGGATCTGACCCGATAAATTGGAATAAAAGATGGTGAGGTGAAATGGTACATGAACAATGTGCTGCTTTGAAGGAGGGGATTATTTGGGCTGGAGTGAGAACTGTGGAGACACTACATAATTCTCCAGTCTTCCTGAGAATTGGGAGTCGAGTGGAGAACAGGAGAATTGCAAATTATTATCTGCATTTAAAACAATATGTAAAAGCAGCAACAACCAGTCAGGTCAGTCAATTTAACATTGGCAATGGGCAAGCTTCTTGAAACAATAGTTGGAGGGAAAATGAAACCACTTGGGTAAATGTGGGTGAATTAACAAATGCAAAACAGATTAGTAAAGGGCAATGACAGTGTAACTAAGTCATTGGTTGAAGTAACCAAGAGGCTTGATGAGGGGAACACTGTTATTGTGGTGCCCATGGACTTCCAAATGGCATTTGAACACATGCTGTACAACAGATTTGTGAGATAAGTTACAACTCACGGAATCAAAGGGAAAGTAGCCTCATGGATACAATATGGGCCAAGTGACCAGGAACAGTGAGGAATGGTGAAAGACCATTTCTGAGGCTGGAGGAAGGTTGGGAATGGAGTTCTCCAGGGGTCAGTGTTAGGACACTTAGGTCTCTTTCTGAGATGTAATTAATGATGTTGTTGTACAAGACACAATAATAACATTTTACAAAGTACTAAAGTTGAAGGTATCATGAATCCTGAAGATGTTAGTGTAAAATAGCAAAAGGAGACAGGTTTGTAGAATGGGCAGAGAGGTGGGAGAAGAAATTTAATGCACAGAAATGTGAAATGATTTATTTTGCCATAAAGAATGCAGAAAGACAATCTAAAATAGAAGTATAGTTCCAAAAGGGTTCAGGATCAGACAGACCTTGATGTGTCTGGACAAAATCTCTGAAGCTGGCAGGACAGTTTGAGAGAGTACTTCAAAAAGCAAATGGCACCATTTGTACCCAGGGTTTATCAAAACTGGTACATCAATGAGTGTGTTTATCCACTAAGACAAGGGAAATATTTAAAATATGTTTGGTGTAATTTTACAATGATTATAAATGACATTTTTCTGATCTAAGTTGCTTTGGTCATTTCAGATAAAAAAAACTTGGATTCATGCGTTTTCCCAATGATTGGAACATGTCCACTTTGGAATCTCCTGTAAGCTCTAATGCTGAACACCCTGGAAAGCTTTCTAGTGTTACATGTACCCAGAGCACATATCAAGTCCACTCTCGGATGACTGTCTGTATGGAGTTGTTACATTTTCCCCATGTCTGCATGAGTTCCTCTCGGTTTCCTCCTACAGTCCAAAGGTGTGCACATTAGGTGGATTGGCCATGCTAAATTGTCCATAGAGTCCAGGGATGTGCAGACGAAGTGGATTAGGAAAATGCAGGGTTACAGGGATAGGGTAGTGAGTGGGTCTAGGTGGGATGCTCTTTGGAGGATCAGTGTGGAATCGTTGGGCTGAATGGCCTTCCACACTGTAGGGATTTTATGATATCATGATTGTGCAGTAGTAACTCTTTTTCTCTGACAATCCAAACCCACACCATAGCACCCTGTTTGTCATTCAGGTCTGGCAAGCTTCATTGAACTCTTTGAATGACAATCCAATAGCTACCTGTTCTCTTTACCTCAATTATGCTGTTGTGGCAGCCATCCTGTCCAAGTCAGCCGCCAACAACCTTTCATCAGTTCACTTTCTCACATGACTGATTCACAATTGCTCATTTGGGAGAACTAATCAGTGCTCTTTGGAATTACCCCAGGGTAAGGGAGTCCAAAACTAAGAGCATAGGTTTAAGATGAGACTGGAAAGATTTAAAACAAACCTGACAGCCAACTTTTTCATATAGAAGATGGTGTGTAGATGGAACAAGCTGCCAGAGGAAGTGGTAGAGGTGAGTACAATCACAACATTTAAGAGACATTTGGACAGGTACATGGTTAGGAAAGGTTTAGAGGGATATGGGCCAAATGCAGGCAAATAGGACTAGTTCAGTTTAGGAAATCTGGTTGGCATGGACGAGTTGGACCGAAGGACCTGTTTCCATGATGTCTTCTTCTAGGACTCTATATGGTCCCAATCATGAAAGGATCAAGAGGAGGGAACACAATTTTAAAGTGATTGGCAAAAAGACGCTGATGACATGAGGAAAAGCACTTAAAACAGTGGGTGGTTAGGGTATGGAATGTTCTGTCTGAGAGAATGGTGGAGGCAGGTTCAATAGAGGCATTTAAGAAAGAACTATTATCTACAAAGGACAATGTATGATGGAGAAAAGGTGGGGAAGGGGTATGAGTGGTGAAGCATCAGTCACACACCTCAGATATCCTGTGTGACGGCTCTGATGTCTCAGAATCCTTAAAGACATCATGAAAGCTGGAATGTAAATCTCCCACTTGAACAGTTTCTCTTCCATGTGTCTGCCCCTGTGTTCACAGTGCTTGGAATAGTTGCTCCTTAGGTGTTAAGAGATCTTTAGAATTCCCACCTTAACCCTTCTGTATTTTTATTTCTCTGTCATTAGGACCTGTTGAACCCACCCTCATTGCCCTGCTTTTGTTCATCCTCTCCTCTGTCTTATAGTTAATTTTTTTGTCTGATTACGTCTCCTGATACACTTTGGGATGTTTTACTATAATAAAGTGTTCTATAAATGCAATCTGTTGTCCTCTCACATTTCCTCCAATCCTCAGGGTACTGACCTGGAGGACAGACTGCAGACATTGACTGGCCTGTAGTGCTCTGGTCGAGTGGCCATTCAGCATGTGGACAGCCAGATGTTGAATGTTGCGAGACAATGGAGACTGTCACAGCCGAGACACATCCTGCCTTCCCCCTGATTTCCCAGCTGGGCTCACTGGCTGATTCTCCTCCTCCTTAGACCAAAGACACTGAGGCTAATTGAAATACCTCCATTAATTGAGAAATGACTGCTCCCTCGGGTCCTTGTGCTGGTTGATCAGAAGCTGAAACCTTTCTAACCACTAAGTATCTGATTGTCTTCTTGGTCAGAGTGAGAGTCAGTGAGTGACTTGTACCTGACACAGCACTGAAAGGAAGCTGAGTTTATACAGGAGCTTCTACACATATCAATGTCGTCTTCTGGTGATGTTTGGAAGTCTGGTAAAAGGTTAAATTGTTCTTCTTGAAAGGATTGGCTGGATGGTAAGAGAGGTTTGAGACAGACCCTGCTGAGACAGACAGTGCTTTGGAATGACAGCTGCCCAGTGTGAGCATTGGAGGGTAAACAACACAGTCAGCTCACAGTGCAATGGAAGCAGGTAACCTGACTCCAAGACTGTGTGTAGACGTCAGCGTATGGTGAGAGAGGAGGAGTTGAAACAATCCTGACACACGTCACACTGGAAGAGTTCATCTCCTGTGTAGGTCACTGGTATTCCAGGGGGTCTGACAACAGCATGAAAGTTTTCTTACACAACTCTCACCAATAGTCTTTCTCCCTTGTGTCAGTGTGTTGATGATATGTTGACTGTGTCAAAGCCGTATCAACACTTCACACTTGAATGGTTTCTCACCAGTGTGGCACTTCAGGAAATTGAAGAAATGCATGAAAATCTTGTTACAAACATGGCGTCTCCCCTGTGAATCCTCTGGTGTTTCAGGATGCTTGAAGATTTCAGGACAACCTTATTGTAAATGTCACATCTGAAGACTCACTTTCATATGTTGGTTCTCTGCTGGAGCAGGAGCATCGACCATTTTCTGAAGATTTTATCACATTCTTTGGAGTGAATGCATCGATGACAAATGAAGCCTGATTATTGTTAAAATCATTTGTCAAACACCTCACACTTAAAACATTTTCTCCGCAGTGTGAATATGTCCATGTTTCGCAAATGTCTCTGACAGTGGGATGGCATGATCTCACACCTCACCATTGAATAGACTGACCCCTGAACAAGTCATTTGGTGTACCAGGAAGGACATTGTGAAGCTTTTGTCACAAACTTTAGACTTAAGCAGCCTTTCCTCAGTGTGGATGTGTCAGTGTTTGCTGAGTGTCAATGACTGTGTGAATGCTCAGTCACACACCTCACTTAGCTTCCCCGACTGCGTGAATGCGACGGTGATCCAACATTCCCCACAACTGTTCAAACTCCTTATTACACACCTCACATGTGAATATCTTCTTCTCCCCTGTGTGAGTGTGCCGGTGTTTCACCAGGCCTGACAATTGTGCAAAGCTCTTATTACACACCTCACACTTGAAAGGCTTCTCCCCAGTGTGAAGGCGTTGGTGTTCACGGAGGTTTGATGACAGTGAGAATGATTTATTACACACTTGGCAAGTGAATGGTTTCTCCCCAGTGTGAACACGTTGGTGTGAGTGAAAGTGCGATGACTCAGAGAATGATTTGTCACACAGCTGACACCTAAAAGGTTTCTCCCCTGTGTGGGTGCTCTGGTGTAACAGGAGTCTTGTCGATGTCGGAAAAGCTTTATCACAAACTTTACATTTGAAAGGTTTCTCTCCTGTGTGGATTGTCTGATGGAGCAAGAGGCTCGATGACAGTGTGAAGGCTTTGTGACAGACGTCACATGTGAATGGTTTCTCTCCTGTATGAATGCGTCGGTGTCTGTGGAGATTCGATGACTGTGAGAATGATTTGTTGCATACCTCACATGTGAATGGTTTGTCCCCTGTGTGAGTTCGCTGGTGTATAAGAAAGTGAGCTGTGCGTGAGAATGATTGGTCACACACTTCACACTTGAAAGGTTTCTCTTCCATGAAGCTGTGCCGGTATTAAAAAGTTGCACAACAGAACGGCTTGTGCATTAGGAGATCTTCTGAGCCTGTCCACACCTCACACTTGAACAGGCTCTCCCCTGCAGGAACGAGTCAGTGGGTCATGACGTTTGATGAATGATTGAAGCTCTCACCACACTCGGAGCCCACTCACGCTCCTTTCCAGCTTCACTCTGACCAATCACTCGCAGCCAAATTGTCAGAAAGGTTGGTTATGATGGAAGGCTCCAAACCGCTGACCAGCTTCAGATCTGATGATGATATTTCAAAGCTCTGGAACCTGACTGATTTCCAGAGGATGATTTCACTGCCCAAACTTCTCTGTGTTGAGCAATGCTGTGAAGGGACTGGATGTCTTCCCTCAGTGGTGCAGTTGTGTCTTGGGTGATGATCAGGATCTCTCTGTGGTGTCTATCCTCTCTGAGTACAATGCAATCCTTCTGTAAAACAGGAAAAGGAAACATGATTTCCTCCTACTCTCTCTCTTCCTTTGCTGAAGGGGCTGACTCCCTAAGTTAGACACTAGCCAAAATGAGCCACAATATCTGCTATTCCCCTGTGAGGTGGAATCAGATGCAAACCCATTCTTGAGGTTGTTGACTTGCTTGCCGAGCTGGCTTGTTTTCATTCAGATGTTTCATCATCGTGCTAGGTAACATCATCAGTGAAGCCTCCAATGAAGCTATATTATTCTACTCCGTTGGAATTTGCAATCTCCGGTCTGTTATGGTGAGTAGTGTCATTTCTGGTTTTGATACTTATGGGCTTGTATTTGGGGTCTAATTCTGTGTGCTTGTTGATTACATTATGGATTGAGAGCCCTGCCTCTAGGAATTCCCATGTGTGTCTATGTTTGGCCAAACACGGAATTTGGCACGGGAATTCCTAGAGGCATGGTTCTCAACCCATAATGCAATCAACAAACATATAGAATTGGACCCCATATACAAACTGATACAGAACAGAACTGGAAACGACTCACCATAACGGACCAGACAGTCCAAATTCCAAGAACAATTTCGCTTCATCAGAGGCCTCACTGATGATGTTACCCAGCCCGCTTTGATCATGCGCTTGATATTTTTGCCTGAAGACATTTTAACATTGTACCTACACTCTCGTGTGCTGGCCTTCAACATGGTGTGAATGGAGTGTACATGGAGCTGCCTTCTCCTGTTGATTGGTTTGCCACAATTCTCAACAAGATATGTTAGAACTGCAGAACTTTTCTCTGATCTGTTGGTTGTGAAGATGTATAGCTCTGTTAATTATCTTCTACTCTTGGTGTTTTATTCTGCAATGTAACTGTCTGTAATACAATCGTTTAGTTCAAACCTGGGCTCTGAATTGATGAAACATCTGAACGAAAACAAACCAGCTCAGCGAGCAAGTCAACAACCTCACCCACAACCCAAGCTACAAATCTTTGCTGAAACCTTAAAACGCCCTTTCTTTTTCCTCACTTCTCTTCTGCACACACACTCTATTTCCAGCAAGGACACTGGGTCGTGATCAGATGCAGGCAAATTTGGCTACTTTGTTTCCTCCACTAAGGCCTCCATCTTCCCAGGCACTGTGTGGGCAATTGAAAACCCATTAAGGTGGACTGTAAAAAATATAAGGAATTCAATGTGAACTTGTGTCACTGAATTGTATCAATCTAAAAACATCGCAGACTCCTCCGTCACCATCCCTGGTAATGACCCATCCCACAATATTGACTCTATGAAGTCTCATGTCTTTAGGTCAAACAAGTTCATGAAAATTTACACTCCCCTCCCAACTGATGATGAGTCCTTCTCTGTGTTCATCATCACTGGGGAAGTAAACTGAGGACAGACTCCAGAACTGAGTGTCCCCTTGGTGCAGTGAGCTATCACGAGCAGCAGGATTGTATTCTATCCCAATCTCACAGCCATTATTCCATCACTATCATCAAACCAGTCGATAGTCAGGTCAGAACATAGAACATAGAACATTACAGCGCAGTACAGGCCCTTCGGCCCTCGATGTTGTGCTGACCTGTGAAACCAATCTGAAGCCCATCTAACCTAAACTATTCCATTATCATCCATATGTTTATCCAATGACCATTTAAATGCCCTTAAAGTTGGCGAGTCTACTACTGTTGCAGGCAGGGCATTCCACGCCCTTACTACTCTCTGAGTAAAGAACCTACCTCAGACATCTGTCCTATATCTATCACCCCTCAATTTAAAGCTATGTCCCCTTGTGCTAGCCATCACCATCCGAGGAAAAAGGCTCTCACTGTCCACGCTATCTAATCCTCTGATCATCTTGTATGTCTCTATTAAGTCACCTCTTAACCTTCTTCTCTCTAACAAAAACAGCCTCAAGTCCCTCAGCCTTTCCTCATAAGACCTTCCCTCCATACCAGGCAACATCCTGGTAAATCTCCTCTGCACCCTTTCCAATGCTTCCACATCCTTCCTATAATGCGGCCGCACCAGAGTTTTGTACAGCTGCAACATGATCTCATGGCTCCGAAACTCAATCCCTCTACCAATAAAACCTAACAGACCGTACACCTTCTTAACAACCCTATCAACCTGGGTGGCAACTTTCAGTGATCTATGCACATGGACACCGAGATCTCTCTGCTCAACACTACCAAAAATCTTACCATTAGCCCAGTACTCTGTATTCCTGTTACTCCTTCCAA